TCGTCCCATGTCCTTAGAGAAAATCTGTCAGGATGACCCCTTTGGGGCCCCTTCTGGGCTGACCTCTGTGCCTTGAACTGAACTGGCCCAGCAGACTTCTAGCCCCCCGCCCCCCCAAGCCACTATTCGGGACCCTTTTTTCATGAAGGCGCTGTTCCTGAACTGAGAGCAAGGTGTTGTGCAGGTGCTTGCCTGCAGCCTGCCGCTGCTCAGAGATGCCCACGCATGTGGGCACCGGGGCCCCAGCAGCCAGGCTTTCTAGTCGAGCCTGGAACAGGTCACGCGCCACGATGACTCAGCGGCAGTGTTTCGAGGTTAGGGACAGTGCTGGACTGGCTTACCTGGCGCTGGTCTCGGCTGGCCTTCAGTGAGCGGGCCGGACGTTGCCTCCATTGCCTGTGGGGAGACCGGGGAGCAGCACCTCGCAGCAGCGAGCTCCTGGGGCGGGTGGAGGCCCGGCGCCGGTCACGCTCCACTCTCTTCCCCTGGCCTTGCCTTGCAGACATTACAAGAAGCGGTGCCAGGGCCGCATGCGGAAGCACGTGGGGGACTTGTGCCTGCAGGCGGGGATGCTGCACGACTCGCTGGTGCACTACCACATGTCCGTGGAGCTGCTCCGCTCCGTCAACGACTTCCTGTGGTTGGGAGGTGAGTGGCACTGGCGTCGGGACCAGAAAACACCGACAGAGGTTGGCTCTAGAGGGAAAGGGCGCGAAGCCCAAGCGGCAATATGAACAGAGACGGGTCCCTTGTCACAGTAGTCCAAGCCTGGGAACAGCCGGCATGTCCAGGCATTGGGTGAGTGACCGGGCGACCCCTGGTCCTTCCAGGCATGGACAGTTAACTAGTCAGCCACAAACCCAAACCCTGCTCTGATGCATGGAGACCCTCGTAGACTTTCCAAGGCTGTCCGTTTTTCTAGGAGCAGACAGCCTCATCTTTCTCCCCTGCGCTGCCTGGTGGGTTTGAACTGCCGGCCTTGTGGTCCGAAGCTCCATGTGTAACCCATAAGGCTCCCGGGGTTCCCGCCGCAGCTGCCAGAGCAATGAAGTCCTGCCGTGTGCCTCACCTGGAGGCACCCCGCCCCCCAAACAGCGTGCGGATTGAAGTTAGCTCGCTGCTAGCAGGCAGATGCCCCGTGCTATCAGGCACGAGTTGGTTGGTGGCTGCCCGAGAGGGCACTGAGTGGATGGTAGTGGGGGTGGTATCACTTGAGAAGGAGCCCTGGCAGCGTGGTGGGCTAACCACTGGGCTGCTGACCACCAAGGCACCTCCTGCTGCTCCTCGGGAAGGAGAAAGGTGAGGCTGCTCCGTCCGTGGAGAGTGGGAGCCACAGCTGTGGGCCTATCATACCAGTGGTTAAGGAGGTCCAGGCTCGGAAGCGCTGCCACAGGGGCCGTTCTGCCCTGTCCTGCTGGGTTGCTGTGGGCGGGCACCGCTGGATGGCAGTGAGAGGACTGAGTTTTTGGGAGGGGCGGTGGAGTGGCCGTGCAAGGTGAAGAATGCCAACCGGTCCAGTGGTCCGATGAAGACAATGACAAGGACTGCCTGCAGGGCAGCCTCTCTGGCAGCATCTGGTGGCACCTCTGTTCCCAGGGCTGGGAGGGGCCGAGCGTCTCCATCTGTGACCGCCCAGTGTCTGAGCAAGGACCGAGGGGGGGTTTCCCTAGTCCAGCACAAGGGGCACATGCCCACCCCGGTGCTGCAAGTCAGAATGAAATACTGAAGGAGGCTCGTCATCAGAGCGGTTTCCCTCCCTCCCTCCCTCCCTCCCTCCTCCCGTAAGTGCAAGCTCCCAGTGGACAAAGGAGGCCAGAGAAGAACCAGTGCCTTGGGCATAAGGTATTGAATTCGGACTGGTATCTCCTAAACTGTGAGCACACCCAGCTGTCCGCTTCTTCACGGTAGCAGGAGACAGCCAAGACAGGCGCCACACTCCTGTGTGTGGCCATGCCGGCGACATTCAGCTGTGATCTGTGTCTTGGGGGCAAAGTTGGGGGTTTCCAACAGTCCATCATTTCAAACCCTCTGATGGCCACCGGGCGGTGCTAATCATTCTTTTATTGCCTTGCCTGTTTCCTGCCCAGCTGCCCTGGAAGGGCTGTGTTCCGCCTCTGTCATCTCCCACTACCCTGGAGGGACCGGCGGGAAGACAGGGGGCCGGCGGTTGCAGGGTGGCCCCCTCCCTGCTGAGGCAGCCAACCGACATCGGCCAGGTAAGTCCCTCCTCCCTGTGGCTGGGAGGCCCAGAGAGCCAGCAGGAGAGGCCTGACCAGCCTAAAGGCAGTTTAAACGCGTGTCTGGTCAGCACATTGATGGGTCTCGTTGAATACCACTGACGGGCGAGCCCTGAGGGGTTGTCCTGGGATCCGTGCGGGCTGGGCTGAGGCTCTCTGGCGGCTTCTCCGTGTTTGAGGCACGCAGCCTCTGAAGGCACTCGGAGCAGCAGGTTCAGGGCTGGGGGCTGAGGACGCTCTCTTTTGTTGATCAGCAACCAAGAGTGAAAAAAGGAGCTGGCCCACCAGCACGCCTTGAATTCACACCCTCAGGCCCTCACAGATGGCGGGCCTTTGGTGGTCATGTGGTGCTGGCCACGAAGAGTAAGGATCACGTAGCCCGAGGCCACATGAAAACCACCTGGTGTTTCTAGGTCTGTGCGATTCTTAAAAACACCCAAAGCCAAACTCCCTGCCACCGAGTCGATGCCGGCACAGAGCCACCCTACGGGGCAGGTAGAACTGCCCAGGAAGCGTCCGAGTCTCTCCCGAGGAGCCGCTGCTGGTCCCTGCGTCAGTCTGGGCCAACGAGAGAAACAAGGCCCGGGACATTCATGTGAGTGTAGCAGAGAACTTTCTATCAAGGAGGATATTAAGAAAACATCCCGGCCCAGTGCACATCAAGTCCATTTAGCCCATATGTCCGGAACCAGCCCATAGATTCTTCAGTAGACTCACACAACACATATAATGATGTCGAATGCAGGAAGATCACAGGCCAGTGGGTGGAAAGTCTTGTGGATCCAGTGGTGGTGCTGGTGTGGGTCTCCATGTGGCTCCTCCAGCTCCAGGGCTCTGGTTCCCTCAGCATAGCTCCATGGGGTCTGTCAATAGGAATGTCTTGCAGGGAGAGTACCCTGTTTCCCCGAAAATAAGACAGTGTCTTATATTAATTTTTGCTCCCAAAGATGCACTAGGTCTTATTTTCAGGGGATGTCTTATTTTTCCATGAATGATATGGTACACGTTTATTGTTTATTGTTTTATTAAAAGAGACCTCACACTTTCTGTCTGCTGGGCTGCACTGTGGCCAACAGCGAGCACCTGCTGCTAAGGTCCAGAATCCAGAGTGACGGTAGCTTCGGGAGCCTTATTTTGGGGGGGATGCCTTATATTTCAGCGAGAAGCAAAACTGTAAGTAGGTCTTATTTTCGGGGAAACAGGGTATGTGCATCCGGCCTCCAATGAAGAAGACAGGAGTTCCCAGAATCCTCAGGAGAAGGCCACGCCCACACAGAGGCCTCATGGGCGCTGGCCTGATTGACAGGCCAGACTCCATCCCTTCCCTCAGGTGGACAGGAGATGACGTTGCTGCCACAGCCTCCAACTGCTGACCTTGAGGTTCGCAGCCCAACACACAACCACACAGCACCAGGGCTCCTTGTGATGTGATTCTTAGGCAAGCCCCTTAAAAGAAAAGACTGCTTACTGCAGTTACTGCCACAACGCCCCCATGACTCGTGGGACACACAGTGCCCACCTACACTTTCCGCCTTAGCGTTTAGGGGGAGAGGGAGTGTGCCATCCAGCTTTAGCATGAGCCAGCTGCCTGCTGCTGAGGACCTTTATAACCTGAGAGGGCACGGATCTGAGGGGTCGGGCCTCATCCCCCCACTCCCAGAACCTGCTGATGGTACTGAAGTCCGCCTCGCCTCATATGAAAGCAGCTTCCCATTGCCTCAAAAATGCCTTCCACTGGTCAAAATGCACGGTTTCAGCAACAAAAGAAAATTCAAAGTGGAAAATGATTTGACTGTGACGGGCTAAACTTACTTCCCCCCAAGTGATCCCTCTCCTGTCACCAGCAGTGACCACCACCTTGTGAGCCACGGAAGTAACTGCCCAGGCTGAGCACCCGCTCTGTTGGGTTGCCCACTGAGCCTCACCCTCCAGGGAGGAGCCAGTGACCTCAGGCCTCTGAGAGGAAACCGGGATGCCCCTCCTCCCCCTCCCCATCCTGCTGTGGCTCTGATGGGAGGTGCTTCAGCCCTGGGCCTGCTCCACAGGACCCCCACCCCCACCCCCGAGCGTGGGGTCAAGTGGGCATCCAGTGCCATGTCTTTCACGGTCCCCCCCATCAGTGAGCAATTGCTGAGTTCCCCTGGAAAAGGAAGTCTCTACAGCCTTCTGAGGGGAACACCTTGTGGAATGTAGGCAAAAAGAGGCTGAGGACGCTGGCAACCTCTGCCCTGGGCACGGCTGGGTCTTTTTCCTGGGAAGGCATCCCCGTGGCAAGGTCACCTGGGGGGAGAATGCTGGGTACAGTAGACAAACAAATCTATAGAAACTCATGTGTATAAGGCAGAGGATTATATACAAAAGCAGATGAATATTGAGAAAACATCCCAGCCCAGTCCAGATCAAGTCCACGAGTCCAATATTAGCCCATATGTCCGATACCAATCTATCAAGCCCTCTTCTGACTCACGAAACACATGCAACGGCGCCGAGTGCAGGAAGGTCACAGGCCAGTGGGTGGGAAGTCTTGTGGATCCAGTGGTGCTGTAAGCATCTCAGCGCTGGCAGGGGTCTCCACGCGGCTTCTCCAGCACCCAGAGCTGCATCAGGGTAGGTCCATGTGACTTCTCCTCAGGGGTGTCTCGCAGGGAGTCAGCCTTGTCAGTAGAGAGTCTCCAAGGGAGTGAGCAGAGAGTGTCTCTCCGGACTCCAAGGAGGGAAAATCAGATTTCCTAGAATTCTCAGGAGAAGGCCATGCCCACACAGAGGCCTCATTGGCTATGATCTGATCCGTAGACTAGACTCCACCCCTCCACTCTTAATCCTCTGAAGCCCTAAGCTGACACCAGATGACGTAACTACCACAGCTGCGCAGAGCAGACTTGGGGCAGAAGTAGGGGTCGCCGCGCCCCCCCCCCCCACCGTGGAAACTTTCTCAGGGTCAACTATGCTCAGGGACAAATGGGGTCTAGAGCCACGAGAGCAGGCTGGAGATTCAGAACAGAGCTCCCATCTTCCCTTGGCAGTGGGGACCGAGCCAAGCCAGCTTCCAAGGACACCCTCAGCTGATGGCAGCAGAGTGGACAAAACTGCCCGCCCTCACATCCCCTCCCCACCCCAAACGCCAGAAATACAGAGGCCCCTTGCCAGCCAGTGTGACCCCGAGCAAGCCGTTGACTCAGTTTCTTCCGTCCGTGTGAGGTGGCCTGGGGGTGCTATGACTGGGAGCCACACACCTGTCGGCGAGGTCTGGCGCAGCCCCAGCCCAGAGCCCCCACGGAGGAGGACGGCTGCTGTCATTACTGCGACGGAGCCATGACCGGGCCCCTAAGCTTGGAGGAGTGGGTTCCAGGGACCTCGGGTCCAGGTTCCACAGCTTCCAGCAGGATCCCTCAGAGCAAAGGAACACAGCTTCCCTTTAGAACTGAGGTGGGGCTCAGGGACACGTCCCTGGGGGTCAGTGAGAGGCTGAGCCAGATTCCCAAGGTCCCCCAGGGACCCCTGCCTGCCCGCATCCTCTTCCACAGCAAGGTCCCCCATCTACTACGCAGGCCGCTTAGGCTGTTGCAGCTTGGAATGTCCCTCCTGACCGTAGGTGGTGCTGTGGCACCTTATTTATTGAACACCAAGCCTTTACTCCCCCGTGTGCAAGAGCAGGAAGACTTAAGCAGTGTCTCTCCGACTTGGTTTCTTTACCTAAAGCTTCAGAGCCACACAGGACAGCGTTCTAGTTACAGCCCGGTTCCACCCTGCCTTTTCCTCAGCGGGACCATTCCAGACATGCCGCCCTGTGGATGCTGGGGCCATTGATTGGACTTTTCTCCCCATGAGAGGCGCCAGTTAGACACGGTCTCCCGCACCCCACCCCCTGCACACCTTACAGCCGTTGAGTATAGTGAATTCACCAAGTCCTGAACACACTGCACAGCCCAAACCCGCGCCTCTGCCTTCCCCCGTATCCCCCCTCCCCACTCCAAACATCAGATTCCCACCCACAGCCCCCCTCTGGCCCAGAGTGGAGATGCCCCACTGTTTCTAAGGCCCTCTCTCCTTGCAGAAGCGGACAGCCCCATCTTTCTCCCGTGGAGTGGCTGGTCGGTTCCACCCACCTGCCTTTTGGCTAGTGGCCCAACACAGGCTAGGGGCAGGCCTTCGAGTCGGGGTGGTGGTGGTGATGTGGTGTCGTGGAAGGAGTCGGGCGCTGGCAGCCCCCTTACCAGGCGTGGATGCGATGCCACCACTTGGCCATGAAACGAGGGTGAACTCACTCAGCTGAGCGCCAGGGATGAGAACACTGGCTTTGTTGTATTGCGATGTTGGAGAGAACGTGCCAGAAGCGTCTGGGACAGCGGTGGCCCCACGGACACCTCACGCCCGTCGCTGTTGCAGTGGGCATTGTCGAGTGCCATGGAAACGCTTCTGACCCACGGGAACCCCCCGGGACCGAGCAGAAAAGCCCCCAGGGGGTTCGTGGCTGCCACCTTTCAGGGAGCAGAGAGACCACTGCCAGGCCTGTCTCCCCAAACATCTCAGGAATGTTAGCGGTGATTTCATACGCTGCTGCCGCCACCATCTTCTGGCCCTTGGTGGCTCTTTTTAATTCAGTAATTAAGTTAGGAGAAAGCAGTTTTCCGAGAAGAATGACAATTAAGGAATGCATGACAAGTCCGAGGAGGGCGGGGCCTGAGTTCCCTAGCTGGCACTTTGCTGATGAGCACCTGTTGGCATAGCCCAGGGGTCCGACATGCAGACATTTCTTCTGCTGACGGTGGTCAGTAACAGGTTCAAAAATGCCACCCTTATTGCTATATGCCCCACCCCTCATAAGCTTTAGGGGTGCTTGACCAGCAGATATCTTCCCCTTGTGTACCCTGGAACCAGGCAGACTCATTAGTTGCTGCCCTGGGCCACAGCGGGGCTTCCCCTGGAGGGACCTACCCTGATCACAGGGGAGCAGGGCCTCCGGAGTGCTGGGGACCAGAGGTTTGGGGAAACACAGAGGAGGGTTTCAGCAGTCTGGCGGGGTGGGGGTGGGGCTTCCCAAGAGTCTGTAGATAGAGCCATGTGGAGAGTGAGACCACACGGAGATAGGGTGATCTGAATGGAGTCGGCTCGGCAGGGCACGTGTGGAGGCCCTCGTGTCCCGCACTGGACTCCATCCTCACAAGGACCCCCTGGGGAGGGCGCTTCTGAGCCCAGCTCTGGTTACCGGGTGCCACGGACTGGGTTCTGACTCACCGTGGTCCCATGAGATGGACTGGGCATGGCCCACGGGGCTCAGTTCTGGGTCACGCTCGGGGCAGCTGTGCATTGGACTTGACCCAGGACTGAGCAGGCCTGCTGGATGCCTCAGCCCCTGCGTTCACAGGAGACAGTCCACACCAGGGCAGGCGCATGGGGTGTTTGTAAATGCTACTTCCAGCCTGGGCCCTTTGTACTTCAAGGCCCAAAGTGAGCCCCCGGCACCCCTTTAACTCTCCGGCGGCCAGCCTCAGAAGCATGTTCTAGAGAAGGGGCCCAGCCCCCTGGTCCTTGGAGGGCGGTGCTGCAGGTGAGATGGTGGTGGTGGCTAGCACCAGGTCTGCCGTTGCAGGCTGCTTTGGGAGAAAGGCGAGGCTCTCTGCCCCGTGCAGGCTTACAGTCTTGGGAACCCTAAGAGGCAGTTCTCCCCGTCCTGTAGGGTCGCTCAGTTGGAACCGACTGGATGGCTGGGGGTTGGGTCTTACTGGACAGGCCCGTGTCCTGGCCCTGTCACCCTCTGTCCCCAGCCGTGTCAGCTGACTGTACACTGGGTGTAAGGGGTGGGAGCGGGAGTGGGGGTGGCGGGGGGCTGCCAGGGGCCCAGGAAGGAACCCTGAGGTCGTTCCTGCCCTGCTCCCTCTCTCTGGAAGCAGGTGGGACATGGCCACCTCCTTGGTCCCCATTGTCCTAGTTGGCAGAGGCTTCCAGCTTTGCTGGTCTCTCTGAGGGTCCCCCTTCCCCCAGGAGGTGTTCGCAGCACTGGGTCAGTGTCAGACGGTGTCCCTCGGAGCGTGGGGAGAGTGTATTTGATCCTCTCTTGTAACCTTCAGCCTCATCCCCTCACCGGATTCACTCACCAGGAAACCGCAGAGAGCCCCATGGTCCCTCACCCCTGCCCTCAGGAGGCCGTCTGAGGGTCAGACGGACAGACAGACAGGCAGCCCTTCAGGCAGCGCTGACCCGGGAATGAGCTCAGTGAGAGAAAAGGGCTGTGGACCTGCCATTCGACAGCAAGGTCCTTTTGGGTAAAGGTGCACGGGTCCATGCGGATGCTGCCTGGTTTGGCCTGGGGTGGCCGGACCCCCGGGGCCTGCAGTGGGGAGGACACCCTACTGAGAAGCAGGCAAGTGCCCAAACCAGACAGAGAAGGAGATGGAGAATTCCGAGAAGTGGCCGGACGTGGGAGGCTCTCCCAGCTTCATTGTCCCCCGAAGCTGCAGTCCAAGTGCGAGGCATCAAAAGGTCCTGGGCCACTTCTCGTGTAAGAGGCGAGGCCAAATCGGACCCATTCAGGTTTCTAACGAGCACAGAGCTATCTGGGTCCGGAAACCATTGTGCTTGGCACGGAGTTAGCCCCCAGCGGAACTCAAACCAATCAGACCCACCACTATCGACTCCATTCTGACTGGCAGGGGCCCCTCGGGACAGAGCAGAGCTGTCCCTGGAGTTCCCGAGACGGGGACTCTGCACGGGGCAGGCACCTTCCTCGTTCTCTCAGGGCGCCTGGTCGGTTTGAACCACTGACCTCGCCCCACACCCAGCCCTCTCCGCCACCCGGGCTCCATCTTCAACGGAGAGCACCTGTTCTGGTCGTGGTCAAATGTGCCTTCTCGGGTGCCGTCGAGTCCCAGTCCGCATTGGGAAATGAGAGTGTACGTGAGCCAGCTCTCCCGAGGGCTGCCACCGCGGCTCTGTTCTCTACAGAACCCTCGTGCCAATGGAGAATTGGGATGAAGAACGAGTGGGCCCCCCGAGACTCTGTGAAGCCCCCGTCTTCCTGGAAGAGAGGGCTTGTGTGACTGGGGCTCCAGACGTGAACCTAACCAGCATGTTTCCAAATGCAAAGGGCCAATGATACACCGGTGCCTCTTGGGGTGAGTGGGGGTGAGAGTAAGTGGGGACTTACTCTCCACAGAGGAGTCTAATTGGATCTCACTGATACTTGGAGTAGCTTAAGTGGGTGGCCAAGGCTTTGTAAAGCTTCCTGTGAAGAATGAAGCTAACAGCTTTGTGTTTTACACAACCATAGGGCCACTCTAAGGAACCCTGGTGGCTTAGTGGATGCGCGTTGGCCTGCGAACCACAGGGGCAGCAGTTCGGAACTGCAGCTCCTAGGGAGAAAGACAAGGCTGTTCAGTCCCGTACAGAGTCAGTCTCAGAAACACGCAGGGGCAGTTCTGCCCTGTCCTATGGGGTCACACTGTGTCGGGATCGACTCGATGGCAGTGAGTTTGGTTTGGTTTGAGGGTCACGGTCAGCCGGAACCAACTCAAGGGCACACAGGAACAGCGTGTCCGAGACTACCTTGTGGAAGACAGAGATGCTTAGTTAGCGGGGCCACAACGCACTTCAGAGTGCGCATGTGAGTGAGAGAGAGAGAGAGAGAGGTGGAGGAACTGATGGATTGATTTTAGGGAACATGCTCAGTGCAGGCTCCTGACACTTTCCCTCGATTCAGAGTGCTGCTGGTGCATGCATAGTGACATGGATAAGTTGGCATCCCTTGTTTGGTGGCAGCGAGAGCCTCCTGCTTGGTCAGGAAGAGCCAGGAGGCCACACCCGGAAGGCGGGCAGGGAAGGAGGGAAGGCGGCCTGGGACCCGCAGTCCCCACTGCTCTCTAGTTTCCTTCTCAAGCAAAAGAGGCCCTTGGTGTGACACGCCGCCGCCATCAGGGCCGGTTTCTGACTGGAGGGCAGCTCCCCAGACCTCCCAAGGTGGCTGGAAATGCGGCGTAGAGGGATCTAAACGCAAGCTGTCTTGTTTTCCGAATAAAAGACCATCCTCTGTTCTTTCTTCCAGGGGCACAGGAAGTCCTCATTGACCCAGGTACCCTGCCTCCTCACTTGGTCTGCTTCTCCTGTGGTGGCTGTGTGTGTTTCGAAATTCATTTTATTTTTAAATTTACCTGCTTTTGTGAATGGCTGGGGGATCAACATGCCTGGACTGTGATCCTGGAACCTTCTGATTTAAGAGACTTTAAATCAGAATCATCACCTACCCCATTTTCTCCAGGCCTCTTCGGGGTACCCCACAGCTTTGTTCGTCAGCCCGAGAGGAACGGACATGCTTCCGCTCGCATGGGGAACGGAATGATTCCAGACTGTGGCTCTAATCTGAACACATCCAGCATGCATGTTCTGTTCATGTTGAATTCATTCACAGTAACTACGTGGCTCTAATTCTCCGGTTCCCTCCCTCCTTCCCTCCCTCCCCAAAACATGAACTTAGATCCTGTTTGGCATTGTGGTGTGTGTGTGTGTGTGTGTGTGTGTGTGCGCTTAACAGGGAAAAAAGCATTTTGTGTTTGTCACTGAGGTGGGTCTCCTGTTCTCCGCTTCACCTCGGCCACTAACACAGTAAAGCTTCCATTGATCAGGGTGCTGCCCTGGTGGTTGGGGTGGTGGCGCCAACAGCAGGATTGGCAGTTCAAATCCACTAGCCGCTCCCAGGGAGTGGCATGAGGCAGTCTTCTCTGGTAAAGATTTACAGCCTCAGGAACCCCAAGGAGCAGTCCAAGCAGTCCCTTTGGGGTCGCTCTGAGACGGCATCGACTCCACAGCAGTGGGTTGCGTGGGTGGGTGGGTGGGGAGGTGGGCTTTCCTCCTACTCAGCACCCTTGTTTTCTGGGTGAGTCACCCACTGTGACAAATGCCATCAAACATGCCAACTGGCTGCATGTGAAGACCTGACGGTGCCCCCGTGGTGCCTCTCAGGGCTTGGTCGCCAGCACACCCCTAGTGGGGCAGCACCCTGTGGACCTGGGCTCTGAGAGGCCTGGCTTCGGACTGGCCACTTTTGGGGTTAGCCTTGGCCCCTACGTTCAGGCCCCTGGTCCTTTTCATGTTGACATCTGTGTAGGGCGCCCGGTGACCGCCCACTCTCATTTCCTTCCGATGGATGGACGTCCAGCTCTCCAGCCCCCAAATCTGTTCTCTCTCCTGCTGAACTGCTTGGGTGACTTGTCAGTCACCAGCTGACCCATGCCTGGGGGGGCGGGGGGGGCATTTGTTCAAAACATTGTGGCTTTCTTGATTCTTGGGATTTCTGTCCCCCCCTCCCCCCGGGGCTTGGTCTCTGCACTTACCCTGCGGAGGCCCCTGTAGGCATGCTTCAGGTGCAGGCAGAGCGAGGCTCCAGTGCTTTCCCGAACCCCCTACCCTCCAGTGATGGTTGCCACCAAAGACCCACGCGCTGTCCTTGACGCCTCTTCTGAGTCCTGCCCCAGAATCCTCAGAGGCAGTGGTCTCATCTTGTGAGGTGGGGGTGGGCAGCCCAGTGTCGACCTCGCACGGCGCTCCCTGAGAACGGGCTCCCTACCTTTCTGACTTTCCTCGGGAGTGGTGGAGCGCCTGTGGAGTTCAGGATGGGCTTGGGTCCCCATCCGCACTCATGCCGTTTCGACAATGGTGTCTGTTGTAGGCCCGCCCAGAATTGTCTCCCACATCCACTTAAAAGGCCTGGATCTTGCAACAACGTCTCCAGGGATTGCAAGCCCTGGGCTCCTTAGTTCCGGTAGGTCCGGTAGGTGCCGTGATTGACGGATCCGTGTGAAGGAGACCTGGCGGGGACCTGGCGTGGTGTTGACACTGCGTCTTCATGAACATACACAAGTACTGAAGCTTGGAAGCAGTCAGTGGCCGTGAGGAAACTCACGCACTGGGCCCGTGTGCGCGACACAGGCATGCACTGTGTGGCTCTTGTTTCTGTTCTCTGAAGGGGCTTCGGCTCTCCCACGCCGCTCCAACCTGAGGATTCCGTCTTAAAACCGCCCCTGTGCGCAGCTCAGTTGGGACTGAGTTGGGGCCGTTTCAGGCACGGAGACCCACCAGCCCCTAGGGGAGGACCCCTCCCCACTGTAGAGAGCAGAGGGAGCGCTGGTCTCTCGGCCTCTTCGCTGTGTGCTGGGAACTGGCTTTCAGACGCAGCCCCCCTCTTCATTCTTGGGGTTTCAGTGCTCACTTAGAATCCCCGAGAGGGAATTTGCCTTGTTTAAAGGTTCCTTACGTTTGTTTCCCTGGAGATCTGGTGTGTTTGCGCTTTCACGGTTTTACTTTATGAAAACCTGAAGTGTGCTTGTCGCCGACGGCTCGCTTTGCCCGGTAGATGATGTGTTCCCCACTTTACAATGACTTGAGTTCTGTTTCCCCAAGGAGTGAGTGTGCATGCATGCTGTAAAAATGGAACCCGCTGCCACCGAGTGCATTCTGACTCACAGCGAGCTGATGCTATAGGGTTTCCGAGGCAGGAAATCTTCAGGGACAGCGGACAGCCTCGTCTTCCTCCCCGGGAGCAGCTGCTGGGTTTGAACCACCTACCTGGTGGTCAGCAGCCCAACCCTGACCCGACAGTGCCACCAGGGCTCTGCTGACCGGGCTGAGGGCTCCTCTGTCCTCCCTTTATTCTGTATCGAAGTCCTGCTCGCGGTGAAGACTGTAGGAGGTAAAGAGAAAGTAAGCAACTCTAAAAGGGCCCTGGCTCCCCATGGAGGGTGAGCTTGCAGGCAGGGGTGAACCTGGGCGTGGGAGGCCCCAGCTTTGTCCCTCTTCACGCTGTTTTTGCGTTTCTTGGCCTGGTGAGTTGCCGTATAGGTCTTTGGACAAGCCTGTCTCTTTCCACAAAGAATCCGCCTGGGGTTCTGGTTGGGATTGCGCTGCCTCTGTCGATAGGTTGGGGGAGGATTGACTTTTTATGAGTCTGCTTGCTCTCCAAGCTCCTCACCTCACCACCACCTTGTTCCTTGACACTTGGTGTGTGTGTGTGTGTGTGTGTGTGTGTGTGTGTGTGTGTTCCCTCCCAACAGTTCCACTTGGAGATATTTCACACACAGACGATTCAGTCGTTCAGTCACATCAAGAAGAGTTGCACAATCACCACCACAATATTTTAGAAGATTTTCTTCATTCTCGTACACATAGCTATTAGCTCCCCATTTCCCCCTACCCTCCCCCTGCCGTACCCCCCAGGAACCATTAATCCAGTTACTCTCTCTGTCGATTTACCTACCCTGGGTTTCAGCTACAGAAAAAAACATGTTTAAAAGACCAAACAAACCCCAAATTAGCAAGAATAACAAAGTAAAACAGATGTAAACCTCAATAGAAAAGAAAGCAGAAAATATTAAACACCAGAATAAGTTTAAGTGGATCATAAAGGAGATCAGATGGCAGGGTGCTAAATGTCCAGCTAGCTGCATCTGCAGCAGTCCACTGTCCAGTGCGTTCTGCAGGGGAGCCAGGCTGTTCACACCCCGGTCCATGCTCGGAGGGGTCACCAGGGCCTTCATCCTGTGGACACCCTTGAGACCTTCCCATGACCCTGGCTCTTCCTCTTGGTGGATGACGGGGCAGTTGCTGGGTTCACACCTGAGAGGCGGTGTGATTTGTGTCCAGTCTCTGTTCCAGACTTCTTCTAACCTTGCCCGTTCCCTCTCGTTCCCTGGCTTTTGCTTCCCCGGCCTGCAGACCAGAGGCCGTGGGCTGGACACCCAGTGTTTTCTGCAGCTGCAGAGTAAGGGACTGCTTCTCTGACCATCTTAGGAAATCAAAGGACGCCTTCCTCTGGTCAGCGTCCTGTGTGGACGGGTTTCCACTCTTCAAATGGAGTTTTCTCCGAAGCTCTTGCCTTGGAGACTTGGGTGGGTTGGAACGAGGTGTTCTGTTCATTGACAGTGGCTGGCCAGAGACAAGAAGCGTTGGCCGTGATGAAGAGGCAAGTCACTACGATCCTTCTGCGAAGTCTAGAAAACGCTCCCACCCACCTCCTCTGCTGGGGTGCCGTGTGGCCCCTCTCTAACTGAGGTGCTGAAAAACCTGGGGGGCTGCACGCGGACTCTGCCCAGGTCTTCTCTTAGTCACCTAGTGCCGCCCTCTCGGAAACACACAGGGGGTGGCTTTCAGAAACAAACTGATGTTCTCACCACGTACAGACTCGGAGTCGGCCAGCTCGGAGGGAGGTCCAGGTCTCCCCCAACACCTGCGGGTCCAGCATTCCAGAGCTCTCAGTTCCCAGTGCCTTGCCACGCATCTCCCTCGGGCTCTCGGGAGTGCTCAGTGTGGAGACCCTGGGTTCACGGGGGTGCGTGGATCCCAGGCCTGTCTTTTTGGTGGTGCTGAGGCTCCTCCGGGCCCCGCGTGGCCGTCTCATTCCTTTCTCATCTCTGTGGAGATGGACTCATGGGGCCACCCCATCCTGTGGACTGCATTCTGTCTCTTTAGCTTATGTGCTTCGACACCTGGCTCCTTACATCGGCAGGGTTAAGATGTGGCTAAAACACATAGGGCGATTATGTCAGATCACAGAACAGGACGATACTTATATAATACTGAGAATCATGGCTGATCCAAGTTGACACAGTTAAGGTGATAAAAACGGAAACCTTTTTACTGTGACCCTAGTGAGAGTGTACACAATTTTACACCCCACAGCGGATACACATCCTGATTCAGCTCATCCATCCCAACCTGCTCGGCGCGCCCTGGCCTATCCCACTTTCTCTCCCTGGTCCCTGTTCCCATTCCTCTGAACTTTGTCCTGGGGCAAATGCTGCCCTTTGGATCCTAAACGGTTGGTCCTGTGAACACGTGTCATTTGGGGAAATGATTCAATCCGTTCATTCTTTGGAATGACTCCGTTCATGATGGCCAGTGGCTGACGGTCATGGAATGCCTTTCCCGTTCCTTCCTGGAAGCAGTTCAACAGGGAGGGGAGCTCATTTGGGTTCATTAGCATTTCGTGTAACGCTTTAGTGCTGAGAACCGTGGTAGGCCCTGACTGCTCTGAGAAGTGTTTAGAGTACAGTAGGACACGTTCAGTGCTTGCCTTGTTTGGACCCCTCCCCCCTCATACACAAACGAAGCACCCTGGACCTAGCGGGCTTCCTTCCGCTTGGCTTGCAGGTGCCCTCACCACCAATGGCATCAACGCTGACACCAGCGCCGAGATCGGCCGGGCCAAGAACTGCCTCAGCCCCGAGGACATCATCGACAAGTACAAAGAGGCCATCTCCTACTACAGCAAGGTGACTGCATGCTTTGGCCCCGTGCGAGTTTGCCGAGAAGCCCCCGTCTGATGCTGCGGCAAGGCCTAGTTACCGTCGGCCCCTGTCTGCAAGTGTGTCTCACACCACCTCCTCCCCAGGCTTCCTGCAGCGTCCCTCCTTCTGTCTCAACCCTTTGGGCCCCTGAGAGTGCGGATCTTGACGGGAACAGAAAGCCTCCCTTTCCCTTCCCCCGCAGAGCGACTACTGGCCTTGAACTGTTGACCTTGGGCCTGGCCGCCCAACTCATCACCCACGACTCCTGATTTCTACCCTTTACATTCTAACCCAGCAGTAGCTGTGGGCGTTGGGAGTGGGGCTGGAGGAGTGCTGGTGATCCACAAAGCCTTTTCTGTCCAATCGTCCTCCCTGTCCTTCTACTTAAGACACGGGGTGGGGTGGGGGTCTGGGTAGCAGGAGGAGACAGCCCTGAGCTAGGAGATCGTGGACACGCTGGACCAGGACAGCGTAGCAGCCAGTGACGGAGCTCAGGCACAGGGAGGGTGGCAAGGGCGGCGCAGGGATATGGCTCACACGGTTCTCCCGTTGTCACCTGCTGGCTGAGAGTCGCAGCTGACTTGGGCACCCAGCCACAACAGCAATGCGTTTTCCGAGCACTGGACTGATCCACAGAGACTTGGGGAGAGCAAAGGACCCACTGATCATTATTTTAAATTTGGCCAAATGCCACGTTATGGTGATTGTCTGCTTTCAATGAACGGCAACCAGGGCTTGGAACTCGGCGTGGCTGACACAGTGACCCTAGGACAGACCTGGGTTTGTAAAATGCAGGTGACCCAGCACCTTAACCGGTAAAACTCACAGGTGGCAGTCCTGCTAGAAGCCTCACCTCCCTCCTGGAAAACAGGCAGCGTGCGGCTTGGCCATCAGAGTCAGAAATAACATTGCCTTGTTTAAAAATCAGGGCTGTGCATAGTCCTGGCAATAACCCAGTCTCCCGCGTCAGGCTCCTCAGAGCCCCCATTCCAGGGCCTGGACCTGGAGCTCTCCCTTGCCGGCCCGGCCCGGCTCTGGCTCCAGAACACTCATAGTGAAACAGAAATCCACTCTCTGCGCTCCCCGTGTGGGCGGCCGAACACCACCAGGCCCTGATACAGACACTCTCACTTGAGCAGCCCTGGGCTCTGTCGGGTCAGGCATCCAACAGAAGCTGGCCTCCCTGGTGCGGTGGCCAGGGGCCTGCAGTTGTCCCAGATGCCAGGACAGGCACAGCCTCACTGTCCTTTTCTGCCTGCCCGCCCGCAGTATAAGAACGCCGGCGTGATTGAGCTGGAGGCCTGCGTCAAGGCGGTTCGCGTCCTCGCCATTCAGAAGCGGAGCATGGAAGCGTCGGAATTCCTGCAGAATGCGGTGTACATCAACCTCCGGCAGGTGAGTGTGCAAGGGGACCTCACGTGGATGCGGACGTTATCCGTGTCCCAGCTTCCTTGATGGGACCTTCCTCTCAAACCCCTCGGCCATCTCTCCAGGTCATCTTTCCGATGGGTGTCCTTGCCTCACACCAGCTTTGCCACTTTGAAGGGGCTCCGTCCCTCCCACCCTCCTTCTGCCATTTGTCAAGTGACCACCATTTGTCAGTGCACACCTCTGCCCTCTGTGGCAACAAAACGTGGGGTTTGTGAAGACACCCGGTGTAGCTCCTTTGGCACAGCAGGTACTCAGCACAGAGTGTCTTGAACCTGAACCTGGAGATGTTTTTTCTCTCACTCTCTTTTAGCTTTCCTTTCTTTTTAAAGAAAAGTAGAACCTTAAGCCAAAATAGTCTGTCCAGTTTTCTGGGCAGCCGAGAGCAGTCGAGCTTGGCCGGCGCTTTAAGCACGGTTTCTCTCCTAGCGGCTGGTGGGCTCGGATTGCTGACCTTGAGGTAGCAGCCCAACA